TAATGACTTCAAACAGTCCATATCAACATGGAATTGTTGTGGATGTAATGACTTCAAACAGTCCATATCAACATGGAATTGTTGTGGATGCAAACAGTCCATATCAACATGGAATTATTGTGGATGATGTAGTGGATGTAATGACTTCAAACAGTTCATATAAAAATGAAATTATTTGTAATAAAGTATGGGAGGTAGAGATTGCAAACAATTAATGTCACATTGCTCTGAATGATGTAGTGGATCTAATCTAATGACTTCAAGCTGTCCATACCAACATGAAATCATTTAGAATGATGTAGGGATATATAAACTTCAGGCAGTTCATATGAATTAGAATTTATATAGAATAATTAGGGATTGAAAAAAAACTCACAGTCCATGTCAGTGAGACATAATAATATATGGGATGTAAAATCTTCAAACAGTTGATGTCAACATGAAATTACTTAGAATGATGTAACTATTTCTAGCAGTTAACATGACAATGAAATTATGTAATGTACGGTATGTAAATGTTTTTAGCAGTCCATATCAACATGAAATTACTTAGAATGATGTAATGGATGTAACTATTTCTAGCAGTCCATATCAACATGAAATTACTTAGAATGATGTAATGGATGTAACTATTTCTAGCAGTTAACATGACAATGAAATTATGTAATGTAAGGTATATAAATATTTCTAGCAGTCCATATCAACATGAAATTATTTAGAATGATGTATGGGATGTAATTACTTCTAGCAGTCCATATCAACATGAAATTATTTAGAATAAGGGATGTAAATACTTCTAGCAGTCCACATTAACATGAAATTTTGTAGATTAATGTAAGGGATGTAAATACTTCTAGCAGTCCATATCAACATGAAATTTTGTAGATTAATGTAAGGGATGTAAATACTTCTAGCAGTCCATATCAACATGAAATTTTGTAGATTAATGTAAGGGATGTAAATACTTCTAGCAGTCCATATCAACATGAAATTGTATAGAATAATTTCAGGTATTTCTAAGAATTGGTATTGAACTGGTTAGTACAGTTCATGATAACAGGTATTTCTAAGAATTGGTATTGAACTGGTTAGTACAGTTCATGATAACAGAACATTTCTGGTGGATGGTGTTGGTATTAAATCTTTTAGACTTATCCATGAAATGTATGAGGTGTTTTAGTTAGTTATAGCATGGAATTAGTGGTAATCTTAACATTAGCATAGCAGTGGTCGAAATGCTAACATTAACATAGCAATGATCAAAATGTTAACATTAGCATAATATTAGTCGAAATGTTAATATTAGCATTAGAATGGTCAAGATGTTTAGCATAATAATAATGGCCAAAATATTTACATTAACATAATATTGGTCAAAATGTTAACATTAACATAATATTGGTCGAAATGTTAACATTAACATAATATTGGTCGAAATGTTTACATCAGGATAACAATGGTCAAAATGTTGATGTTTACATAAAACTGGTCTGAATGTTGTTAAAATAGTTAAAATGTCGCTGTTATCAGGGAATTAAGGGGGGAAAATATTATTAGTTATATTGTGGAATATTAATGTTAGCGTAGAAGTTGTAAGCATGTTGATGATGTCGTGGAAGTGCTGAAGACACGAGAGGTTCAAATGTTGACGTTAGGGCATTGGTGACGTAGCATGGATTGTAAACACTTCAACAAGTGGCGTTTGCTTCACTGCAAGACATCATTACTTTGGATTTACACTTTACGTCATTATGAATCGATATATGCACGAGTGCACGTGTCTTTAAAAATGTTAGAACCCATGTAAAGAAAGCTGTGTTGGTGCTGAATAGAAACAGCAAAGTACAATGGTAACTCAACACGAGTTACTTGAATAAACTACTAATATGAAGTTAATATTCCTCTAATATTCCAACATTCAGGGTTAAATGAACAAAGAAAGTACGTTCATTGTAAAAACCATGAAATAGCAACGTACTCTTCACACAAAAAATGTATTTACTTTGATGATGTGTACGTTTTACTATCACTATGGTCACAGTATAGTGTAAGTGGTACGTTCTAAAGGGTAAACGTTTGGTAGGCTAATAGCTTCTAACTGAAGTTCCACAACCTTATTTTGTAGGATTTTGAAAGAAGTCGTTATAAACATAACATCGTTTAAACAAGATTACAATTTCTTTAATTTATTCCAGAGAAATGATTCGATATTTAAATATTTTTCTGTGTAAATTTAATTTATCTTTCTTTCTTTATGCATCAAGCAATGTCTGTTAAATTAAATTTATACATTCAGAGTAACGTTCCTATGAAACGCTTTTTATTTTAATTTAACGTGTAAATATTCTATGTAAAGGTAAGAGAAATATTAATTTACAAAATACAAATAATCACCGACAGATGGCAATAGCGGAAAATGTACAAATTGCTTTTAACGTTAATTTTGATACCTTTTTATCAAACTGTGAATTACTATTAAAGAAAATTTAAAGCTTTTATGATTATTATTTTGTCTAGTCTCATATATATTGCAATGGTTGGGGTTTCTGGCGTCGTGTTTTTATTGTTTCTTGCACAGATCTTCATGTGGTGTACATTGATAAACATTACTTTGCAAAGCAGCTACACGTACGTACGTAATGAAAAAGGCTGTGGAGTTAACACATGTCTAATAAAAAAGATTGAAAGAACTTTCAACGGTTAAACTAACGAACTACAAACAGTTGCGCTTGTTGCTTATTTAATGGACATTTAAACGATTAAATTAAAACTACCAACAATTCCGTTTGTTGCTTAATTAGTTAATATTTCAACAATTAAACTAGCTAGAACTACAAACAGTTGCGTTTGTTGCTTAATTAATTAATATTTCAACAATTAAACTAGCTATAACCACAAACAGTTGCGTTTGTTGCTTAATTAATTAATATTTCAACAATTAAACTAGCTAGAACTACAAACACTTGCGTTTGTTGCCAAGTGTTTATGTTCTAGTTTATAAATATCGAACGAAAAGCCAACGCTTTTGTATATTGGTACAATATAGTTTCCTATCGTTAAGCCAATGCATTGCACTTGGCGCGTATCATGTTAATATTTTAACGCTGTTGTACTTGGTGATAGACAAATATTACAACAACCAGTTAGGCTTAGTGCGTATATTACCTTACAATGGATAAGATTTCAATAATTAAGTAATAAAGACTGATACGCCTCATTCTCAGGGCATGATATAAAAAAAATGAACTCATTAAGTGTAAGGATTTCTTTAGTGTGATATATTAACACACTGCCATCTTTCCTAATGTGTTATTAATATATATGAGATCCGTTTTTTATTATTAGAAGGGTAAAAGAAAAATAAGTTAAGAAAGTAGATTAATATTTACCTAAGCTAAAATATTGTTAGCATGATTGATAATTCCGTTCAAGATAGAAGATAGGTAAGGGACGGACAAAAAGAAATATAAATTAATGAAAAATTGTTAACAGTGTCAGAAAAGAGAGAGAGAGAAAAAAAAAGCTATTAGAAAGATAACAATTTGTGTATGTATAAAAATATTTTCATTTGATAGAAGTTGTTTCTCTTAGTCGTTTTGTTAATTGATAAATAAATGTATCTTTTGTGTTATGTAATAAAAATGAAGACTGAGTATTGTTATCTCTGTTAAATCGGAAAAACAATAACAATTCTCTGAACCCAACACCATTTTACTGTTATAGTCAAGTATAAGACCGACTAAAAATCAAAAACTTATGTTCTCACACTTCTGCCCTTTTGTGAGAGCTGCATATTAACATTAAAGTTATGTGTTCTGAGAATTGAAATTTTATCATCAACCGTTTGTAACATTTTGTATACAAATCATTGTATGTAATAACTATTTGTAGTAACTATTATTGTAAATTGTATTATTGTGTGTATCAATCTTGTTGTCAAATATCATAAATTGGCTATATATCGGCTTTTACTTAACTGCTAAATCCAAAGTACAATTTAACTATTAAATATAAAGTACAATTTTACTCAATTTCAGGCTATTTGAGATTCTAATATCTAACAGGGAGATAAATACAAATTTTCAGTTTTATAGTTTTTATGGGCGTTTTTGACAATTACGTATAAGGGAAACAACTTTTCATGTCCTAAGATAACTTTTCATTAATCATGAATTTACATAACTTCCCTTAACGGGACGGGTATTCCAGCTAGTAAAAAAATTTACAAATAAATTTCAGTACCTGCCTTCAGCGAGTGGAGGATATGTGTACAAAATTTACGACACCATTATTATTAAATACAGAAAAACAACTCAACTTTTCTTTTAAAAACTCACTAAAACAGGCGATATTGACGTTTTCACGTCATCTCTTAACAGCCAATAGTAAACGTTTACATTTCATGGCTCTGAGAACTACATAGACTTTGACACCATTTTCTGACACACATCCCACCATCATTTCATAGCTAAGACAGTTGCAAGTTCAGTAGAATTCAATATTAGTTCCTGGTTTAATTCATAGCATTGTTTTATAGCTATAATATCTTCAAATCCAATATGCTTCAATATCAGGTCCTCATGTACGTTATATTCAAATGATTTTGGAGCCTCACCACAACACTGTAGTCCATGTTTCCGGTCAACATTGCAAAAGGCTCCGTCGTAAGGAAGTCATGTTCAAAGCACATTATTCCTCCATGATTCCTTTCGTTAAGCCATGTAATGTAGGTCTTCCAGCGTCCGATTCAACAGTCCGTGGAACGTCACGTTTACAAATATTGCACACTTGTTTTTATTAAACAAAAGCTTATTTACGATATTTTTCACATTTAACGCCTTGAATCATATCTTATTTTTCTTCGGGCTTTCAAATCAACAACTTACTTAAAAGAGTGGACCAGATGCGCAGACTCTGAATCCGTGGGTTATGGTTTGTGTACCATTGTCGTATAATGTGTTCTACACTTTGAGGCATTGTAGCGTAGACTTACCGCTGTCCCACTTAAGAATTATGAATATTATTTTTAGATAATGGCATTTGATAGTTTGGCATTTGCTATCCGAACAGCATCTTATGCAACACATAGTTCTCACTCTTTAAGGAATCCTGACTAAAACGTGGCAATCAGCCAGTCAGCAGCACTAGCCGCCTACGCAACTACTCTTAATCGAATGACGGACTGACGACTCCACAGTTAATAGTGTCAAATTCCACTATTTAGTCAGACATGTGTAGCCTCTAGTCCAGTGGTTCCCAAACTCTTTTAGTTTGAGGATTCCTTGATGTGAACAAAAAAGTTGAGGCCCCAACCTATAAAAAAGCCTTAAAATGTTCTCCCCTATAACTTTAGCATGGTGATTGAAAAACAGTGCCGTAGTAACAACAATAACATCTCCTTTCGACATACTATATCATTTAATTAATTCAACATAATTTTTATCGGCTTATTGTTTATTTAGGATTAAAATTAATTCAGCATCTTTGTTTTCGGCCCATTTTTTTGGTGTCCCCCTAGAAAAAGCTTTATGGCCCCTAGGGAAAAACTGCTCTAATCATAAGTTCAAAATTAGGGACTGCTATGCACAAAAAAGAACCCTTAGTAATGTGTGAATTATCAAACCTAGGTATAAAAATATTAATAAAAAATATATATTATCTCTGTGATTGTTAGTGTAAATACAATAATACTGACAGGTTTAAAGCAAATGTTAGGCCTAGCTTCATATGTATTTCTATACATCAAATTAACTGTCGATCTTTGGTGTAAAAGTAAATAAGATCGTTACTTCTGAAAGGATTCACTGGAGTAATTTGATAACTGGGGCTTCAGAAGAAGCCTTAAAATTGCCATTTCATTTCTTCTCATAACCAACTTCTGAGAAATTAACACTTTTTTTTTTATCCCTTGCAGTTAATTACAAGCACTTTTAGGTTTCCTCACACTGCAGGTGTTCAACGTACAGTAATTATGGCTAAGGTTACACAATGGAGGAGTTTTTAATACCGACCAAAACAATGTTTGTTTGTTTGTTATCAAGCACAAAACTACACAATGTACTTTCTCTGCTGTGCCCAACGTAAGTATCGAAACTGGTCTGTAGTAGTATAATCCCTCAAATTTATCGCTGGGGCAGCGGGGGTGTGGGGGTTAAAGCACAGGCTCGTTTCTTCCAGTTATGGAAACCTGTCACAGCACGTTTTTCAGTACGCATTCCGGATAGCGTGGCGCAATCTCTGGGCTCGAACCACCAACTTCAGGGTCAGCAACATATTGCTTTATATATATATATATTTGTGTGTGTGTTATTTCACCGAAAGTGGGCCAAAGACTGCCTGGGGAGCCACTTGTTCTAACCACTATACAGTAGTGTGTTGTCTGTCAGTCAGTCAGTACACACTAAAATTAAGTTACGTAAAGGACGCTTAGAGTTGCAATTTTTACTGTCGTGACGTCAGTAAAACGTGCGCATGCCATAAATTATGCACTCTGTAGGCTACAACCCAACATGACATATGAACTTGAAACGCAAGAAATAAATATATTTCTTACTCTTAATTTTGGTTTTATTTACTCTTGAAACAAAACACTTTTGGAGACCCTGGTACACAATAATAGTAATAAATAATTATAGTAAAAATTAACCAATTAATGGATAACTAAATTAGACGTACCTGCGCAGGGTCCCCGAAAGTGTTTTGTTTCAAGAATAAATAAAACTCAAACTGAGAGTAACAAATATTTTTATTTCTTCCTTTAGAAGTTCATATGTCATGCTGTGTTGTAGCCTACAGAGTGCATAATCCTTCTCGTGATTCATGGAATGCGCAAATTTTACTG